GTGCTCACAACTGCATATGGTTGGGTCCTTCGCCTGGCTAATTTTCCTGCTCATCTCCCTCGTCGTCCACATCCCTCGCCTCTCCTCGTTTGTGCTCCTGCTCCGTGTGAGAAGCCTGACGTCCGAGATCTGCCAGTATTATCAGCTGCTGCTGCGGGAGGCTCCAAATTATGATCCCAACACTCGGGAGCGGCCTAGAAGGGGGGCGTCCAAGAGGGGGGGGCGCAAATCATGGCTGGCGGCACGAAGCGCGGCCCAGGGGGGGACCCAGGGACGTAGTGACAAGAAAAAGAGGCGCCATGAAATCTGGGGAGATATCATGGCCCCCGCCATGATCCCTCGCCTTCCACCCTCGCTGCCTCCCTCGCTGACGCTGTCCCTTCCCTCGGGGGCGGACAATAGGGGGGCCGTCTAACATGAGGGGGATGCAAATCATGACCGGCGGCATGCTCGCGGCCCGGGGGGGGGAGGGGCGTAATGAAATAAGAACAGGCGCCATCGAATCTGGGGAAATACTATTGCCCACGCCATGATATCCACCCCCCCCTGGTCATGACCCCCCTCTTTGCCTACCCCGATTCCCAGGGGAAAAAACATTGATGTCGTGGCCTTGTGGGCCCGGGGATATCTCGCGCGCGCAGGCTGCGACGTGGAGCCTGCCGGCGAGTTCTGCGGTGAGCGACGACTCTGGAACCTCCTTCTCGAAACTGGCCTTTTCCTCAGTCGGTTCCGGGCGGTCCCCGATCTTGCTGTCCAAGGGCCAGACGATTCGGAACATGAAGCCCCAGTGTTTGTGAAGGGGCCCTGGGACACACAAATAGATACACACAAATAAAAACATTCCCCATATTTTCCTATATTTTCTGGGTTTTTGTCTTCCCCACCACTTCCCATATTTTCCCCTATTTTCTGGGGGATCGACGATTAATTGTGTCTGTGTGTTTTTTCCCCTCCTGAGTTTGGTCCGCCGTCGAAGGGTCAGTCGACGAGATCGTGTCGGGGAAGCTGCTCGGGGATGGTAGCTGTGTTGAACGAGGGCCCGCCCAATTTCATCACCCTGGTTGGAACGCTGCCACAATTGACGATAACTGGGCGAGCAACGACATGTGTACATGTATGCCCTCCGCGGTCTTGCCTGCACGAACATCCGCGTCGACACGCACTCCAGGGGGAACTAACCGCGTACGTGTACACATGTTGCTGGCCTCTGAATAACAGTTAACCTGTTAGCTAGCTGAAGTGGCGGGGCCGCCGAACATGCAAACCGACTTGCGATTGCCACGCATTGCCCCATAACTGCGGACACTCACACGGACTACCAGGATATTGTGGGCATCCAGTCGGAGCCAGTGGAGGCAGTCTGCAGCAAAGGCAATACTTTGCTGGTGTGAACTATTTGATCCGTGGGGGGTCAGCCTGGACTTCAGCAGTGAGGAGCTTCAAGGCAAAGGCCCACCTGAATGTGGGCAACCTGGAATTCGGCTCCGATTCGACATTTCTGGCGCTAGGCGATGGTCAGGCGGATAGGGCAACAAGAGCCGTTGCGAATTCTCCCCTCCCTGGCCTTTCCTCTGTGAATGCGAGCTGGTAGACGAACACAGCAAGGCGCAAGAACTGCATCTCAGATTCGTGCCGTCTGCTTTGACACTCTTGGACCGCCCCCCACCCAAAGTTGCAGAAAACGTGCGTTTGTCCAAACGTGTCCTCCACGCTCGTGCTTTCGGAGTTTCGTCGTAGGCGGGTGGGCTTTTACTACTTGAGCGTCTCGCTCCACATGGCTCACGACGACAGCCAGCACTATCGCACACGTGCCGAAGCACGGCGCTAGCCCAGGAAGGAGCCTCGCAGTCATGCCCGACGCGAAGCTGCGGCCAATGCCTGCGGGGCTACGATGGGTCGAGGAGCCTCGTTGCGTTCCTGTGGGCGAGTCTTTCCTCATCGCGGTAACCCCATTCAGCTGTTGCCCTCGCAATAGGACCGGATGTCCGAGGCGAGTTGCCGATTGGCCTGCAAAGCAACCAGAAGCATAGGCGATACAAGGACTGGAGGGTGGTACCCTTGCGGAGGTGAAAGTAAAACCGAATGTGCGTCCACACCGCACTCTTCGCACGTTCTGTGGATCGCGAGCGGGAAACGCTCCAAGCTCCACTACCAACTACAAGTGCGGAGCTTGGGAGCTGTACGAGAAAAAACATGGCGGCACTTAGATGTTGAATGCTACGTGTATTTCTCCGTATAAAACACAAACGCGTCGACGCTCGGGCCAAACAGCGGCGAGCCCTCCGACTTGAGTGGCAGGAAGAGGTAGGGGAGTATGAAGCGGAGGATGAGGAGGAGGAGGAGCAGCAGCAGCAGCTGCAGCAGCAGCAAGATGAGGAGGATAAGACGCTGCTTGGCGCCACCGCGCGCCCGCACCGACGGGAACATGAGCTGAGAGGGGGCACATCGACCTCCCCTTGAGGCTCCATGGCGACGATGCCCAACCGAAGGGTCGCGGCAGCATCGCGGAGCACAAATTTGTTATGAATCTGAATATGAAGAGGCAGCCTCACACTGTGAGGCTTAGAGTGCTGGCTGCCTGTAAACGGTGCTGGGATCCGCAAGGAGCCTCAGCCAATGAACTTCGGGATCCGTGGCCTGCAGAAGCCTGGGCGCCGAGAAAACGCGACCGTCCGTCCGCTTCCCCAACCAGAGACAGTTTCCTGTTGCGGGCAGCGCGCCCCGAGGTGCGATGGTCCTCGGCAGCACAGTCGACTAACAAATGGCCAGCGGTCCCCGTTGAAAAGAACCCGCGCGACACGCATAGGACGCAATGGCCAAAAACGACCCAAACTCTACAGTCGGGGCGTTGACCTAAGGAACCCTAAATACGGAACGAGGCCCCTTTTCACCACAAGTTAAACTTCGATTCCCCATCGAGAACAGAAGGAACACCTATGGCAAGCTGCGAAACACGCAAGGAACACGGAACCCCTCCCCGTCGAAAAGGGTTCCTTCTTCAGGGCCCCGACTGTATGGCCTCTCGAGGCCGCCGCGGGCACAATGCCCGCGCGCGGCACCGCGGCCGCAGGGGGCCGGTGCAGTCGGCCTCGCGAGGCCGATCGTTCCCGCCGAGGCCTGCGCGCTGTCGCTTACAGTCGGGGCGTTGACCTAAGGAACCCTAAATAAGGAACGAGGCCCCTATTTTCCATAAGTTAAACTTCGATTTCCGATCCAAAACCTAAGGAAAATCCCGGGCAAGCTGCGAACAAAATAAGGAACACGGAGCCCCTCCCCAACGAAAAGGGTTCCTTCTTCAGGGCCCCGACTGTACGAGCGGGGGCAAAAGCTGGGCCAGCACGATCTGGAAACGAGTCAGGGTCGACCGTGCTCCTGGCTCCGCTGTGGGTCGAGGAAAGATGATCCGAGGCGCTGGCCCTGGCAACCGCTTGCTCGAGTTCACGAGCATCGATGGTGGAGGCGGCAACAATCGGATCGAATTCAACGCGCTGTCGGACCGCGCGCCCATCGGGGCTGCTGTACGACGCTCCAGATTCGGCGGCACGCTTCCCCCCCTCCTGGAGTTCAGTCGGAGAGAGGGAAGCGCACTCTACATCGCTCTGCTTGCCACGGGCAGGACACGCAGCCAGTTGGAGCTTCTGAAGCTCCTTGAGCGATCCCACACCTTTCTGACAACAACTGCATCCGACGAACCCAGACTGAGCAGGGATGACGCGCCTCAGGTGGGGCGATGGAGGGAGGGCTGGGCCCTATGAGCCTTGCGTCGGCGAGGTCGAGCTGCGCCCCGCCTTCGCGCATCAATCCTCCCACCGCTCAAATGATGCGAATGCGCAACAACGAGCCAATGCAGCACGCGTCGGGTGGACCGAAGGGCAAGGCGCATGGATTTCTGTTGCTGGGACGTAGCAGCATGAATATCCCTGCCGGCGCGCGCAGCTAAATCTGCCCACCGATTCGCTCTCGCAGGGACAGATGATCCAGACTGGTGGCCGCGGACATGCGAAACTCTAATGGCCTCTCCAAGGCCCCCGTGGTCATCGATTGTGTACCATCTCCTGGCCCACATATCCGAGCTGGGCAAGCTCGCCCGTCGACGATCTCGCGTGCACAGACGACCCTGGAACGACATGCGAAGCGCCAGGGTAGGCAGGCACAGGAGTCAGGTAATCAATGTCTGCGTGACCAGAGGTGTAACAAAATTGCGCAGAGTCCTGGTCACCAGTCGGCTGAAAGCAATCATTGTGCTCGTCACCGACTGTCAAAAGCCCCAGGCCTGCTGTTGATCTGCTGGATTCCGAAGATGTCACGTGCTCCCTTGTACGATCGCAGCCCTGCGAATCAAAATCGACACCAGCTTGGCGTCGTGCAGTGCCCCAAAGCTGGGGGAGGCTGAGGATACCACCGTGGCTGGTCTGCCTCGGCATGGTCCCGTAGAGATGAGTCTTACATCAGAGCGTGAAGTACCTACCCCGCTTTCGCTTCCAGGCAAAACCAAGTCATACCACTCGCCTCCTTGTCAAGCGGCCTGACCAGTACAGGCCGTAGTTTGGCATCGTTTGGTATCTCTTGGAAGCGCGGGTGGTCAAAAGCGAGGTAGGTTTGTTTTCCCCCGATTACAATCTAGCTCACCGCGGTGGGGCTCCCTCAGCAGATTCAATGTGACGATCTCCAGAGGGAACCTGTGCATCCCAGAGGGTCGGCGACCCAGGTGCTGGTGTTGACGCGGCGCCTGCCGTGGCCACTGCCGCCGTGCTCCGCGGGGCCGACCGCTGTTTCGCGACCGTGGCGGGCACCTCCTGATACTGCTTTGCCAAGGAGCTGAGGTAGGTACAGTCGGGGCGTTGACCTAAGGAACCCTGAATAAGGAACGAGGCCCCTTTATTCCATGAGTTAAACTTCGATTTCCGATCGAAAACACAGGGAAAACCTGAGGCAAGCTGCGAAACACTTCAGGAACGCCGAGCCCCTCCCCAACGAAAAGGGTTCCTTCTTCAGGGAGCTTCGTTGCACGCCGTGGCTGACGGAGCTGCGCTGACGATGCGGCCAAGCCGCTCCAGCGACCCGTCCAGCTCCGGGCCCGACGGAGCCCGCGAAGCACCCGAGGGCGCAGCGGCGGGCGCGGCAGCCCCGGCAACCTCCACCCCGGAGCAGGATGGCGAGGAGCTCGGCCTCCGCCAGGTGGAGCTCGCCATTCTTTGACGGGCGAAGAACGGTATAAGATAATTGTTTTCGCTGTCGGGGGCGCCTGTCCCTGGGCGGCTGGAAAGTTTATACCCTTACGGTGGCACCGTAGGGGTATGAACTTTCCAGCCGCCCTGGGACAGGCGCCCCCGACAGCGAAAAAGTTTATTTTACACCGTTCTTCGCCCGTCAATTTCTTGGCCTCGTAGCTCTTCTGCAGCTCGGCCACCACATCGCGAAGGTGGGTGACCTCCTTGGCCTTCTGAAGGGGAATTGGAACACACGAATAAATACACACAAATAAAAATATTCCCAATATTTTCCCATATTTTCTGAGTTTGTGTCTTCCCCCCCACTGCCCATATTTTCCCATATTTTCTGGGAATCGTCGATTAATTGTGTCTGTGTGTTTTTCCCCCTCCTGGCCTTCTGCTGCTGCCCGTCGAGCGACCGACGGAGCTGGTCGCAGGGGGGTGCGCGTCGCCCGCTCGGCCTCCTCAGCCTCCCAGTGGCTGCCGACGGGCCGCGACGAGCAGACTGCTCCCGTCGTCGATGCCGAGGAGGGGGAGGAGGAGGAGGAGGAGGAGGAGGAGGAGGAGGAGGGGGAGGAGGAGGAGATGAGGAGGAGGAGGAGGAGGAGGAGGAGGAGGAGGAGGAGGAGGAGGAGGCGTCGCAAGCGGCGACCGCCTCCCTGGCCTTGGCCACCGTGTCGGGTACGGTGGGCGGCTCGTCGGCGGGCTCGCCTTCGGCGCCTGGCCGCTCGCCTCGAGCACTGCCCTGCCTGGGTCTGCTCGGGCGGCGAGGCGCGGGCGAGCGGCCTGATCGCCTGTCGGGCGGGGCTGCGGGTCCAGGCTTCCCAACGCGGTCCCTCCCGCAGCGGAAACAATGGGCATTGCTGGCGAAGTTCCACATGTAGCCACACTGGCGGCTAGCAGCGCCAAGCCCAGCGCGGATCCACCTTGGCGCCATCCTTCGCTCCCGAAGACCGACTGGCCATGGGCAGCTGGGGCACCCGAGACCCGTGATGCTCCGCCATTAGATCACGAGCGGCCTCGACGCGCAGGAGGTGGCGTGCTGCCCCCCTCGCTCTCCTCAGGCGTCGATGCCACGACGGGGATGGCGTACGCTGCCTCCCGCCGCTGACGTCGCCGCCGCGCAGCGCCACTCGCCAGGAGCAGCCCAGGGCGCAGGCAGCAGGGCGGCGCAGGGACGCCGCGACAGTGCAGGGGCCTATCGCGCGCGCGGCAGCGCGGCGCGGGCACCCCTGCTGGGGGCAAGGGGGGACCCTCGACCCCTAGCAGGATGAGGAGGAGGCGGAGGAGGAGGAGGGCAGCGTGAGGGTGACACCAGTGCGTAGGAGGAGGAGGAGGAGGAGGAGGAGGAG